TTGGTATCACATTAATGGAGTCAGAGAATTGCATTTATATCAAAAGATCTTAACTACATAGCAAAGAATTCTTTGGCTTATAATAACTTCATTTTTTTTTAATCTTTTTTTAGCACTTCAACAACTGAATGATGCAAGGGGATAAGTCCTTAGACATGGAAAGCAACCACATCAACAGCACCCAAAGAGGGAAGATATTACCCCTGGACTACATCCCAATGGCCTCCATTAATTGCAACCTCATCTTGCCAACTCCTGCACAACCACGCCATTCCAACCATTCCAAGAGAAAGTTCTTGTTTATAGTTTAGTGTGACATATGGAAATATCCAAGGCATCGGTTTGTTTTTAGACATTTTGTGTCAGCAATCAACTGAATGTTCGAAATTTAGAATAAGTGCTAGAAGTTTCAAATGGACTTGAAAATATACCAAGAATAATCCCCTGGGCACCTCTATAGTAAGAGCTTGTTAATGTTCGGAACCTCTCCTGTCCAGCTGCAACAAGTATTGGGATCTCAGAAAACATTATCCATACACAAACATGAATTTTTTTTAATAAATATTCACTACTAAAAGAGGCAAGAATAAGATGACGAATATAATGATTCATACACAAGAACAAATGCATGTTTTACTACTTCTAGATCATTTAGCTACAGAGGATACATATATGCTTAGCTCCACAAATTAATTCAAATGACAATTATGCTCAGCTGCTAGGGAACTTCTAGTGAAAAGTAATTAAACACCAATTCACAGTATAGGGAAAAAGGGGAACTAGCGAAAGCATGTGGTTCTGGTGAAGCTTTCTCTTGTGTTCTATATATTATTAAGTCTATAATCCAGGCAAAGATTATTGACCTTGACTTAGGAGTGTAAACTAGTAACTATTAACATGTACAGTTGACAATAGTTAAGCAACCACTGGATTCACCTAAGCTTCGACAATGTAAATTCTTCAGAAAGGACTCGGCTAAGTGATAATACAATGTATAGTCTAATCTCTAGCCAGTGCAGGAACGTCAAAAGGAGAAGTACTCTAAGCTTGAACATAAGCCTGGTTAAAAGGCTATAGTAAGTGTTCCTAAAGTAGCAAAATTCTCTGTTGCATAAGTAGCTATCTGCTCGAATGGCATCATGCCCTGAAGTCATAATTGTTATCATTTGGGCTGTATAACCTTCATCCATATTGTTCATATCTTTCACGTTTTACCTAGTCAAAATTAAAGGCAGAAAGTGTAATGAAACCACGGAGTACTATAACTGCATACCAGTATCCCAAATTGTAAGTTTTAATCTCTTGTCACCCACTGTTAGCTGCTTGATCTTGAAATCCACACCTGCACACAGTTGGGGGAAATACCCAAGAAGGCAAATCAAAGATAAATGAAAAATCAATGAAACAACAAAAAGCCAGACTGCCATCAATCAGTTAAAATTCCATGTAAAAGCACAGTGGTCATTAATTATCTATGCACAATTCATCATTAAAAATGTATAATAGCCAAGAACGGTAAAAAGCCATCAATGCACAAATACATTGATTGTCTTAATAAGTTGACCTCACTTTTGCTGAGTTTTAATGTTCAATCATAGATCCAAAATCAATGGACTCTATTTGCTAGCCAAGTAATTATTTGCCATGAAAAGACTAAAAACACAGAAAGTGATAATATACTATATATATGTATATATTATCTTTTGTATTTTTCAATACGGCCAATAAGGGAGAGGACTAATGGTCTACTTTCTTGTTCTCATTTTTTATTTCTCCAGCAACCAAACAGAATTCAAGCTCAGAATAAAAGAAAGAGAAACAAACAGGAAGCTAAGGAAGTACCAATAGTAGGGGCTAGATCTTCTACAGAACTGGAAATGAAGCTGACAAGAAGACTGCTTTTTCCCACGCCTGAATCTCCGATCAACAAGATCTTGAATGATAGATCATACCCACTGCTCTGTCCGGAAGAAGATCCCATATTCTTTCCAAAACCAACTCTGCAACTCAACTCTTCTTCTTCTTCCTCTTCTTCAGAAAATTTTCTAAAAAAATCTAAAAACCCAGTATCCAATCTTTCTCTCCCTCTCTCTCTCTCTCTCTTGCTCGCTCGCTCGCTCGCACTATCTGCCGTACGCAGCAATTATCATTAGGAACCTCTGGATACTTTCTCTCTCTCTCTCTCTCTATATAAAAAGGTACAGTGAAAAAGAAGAGGAAGAAGAGGAGCAAAACGGGGGGAAAAGCTTAATGGCGTCAAAGTGTAATATATTCTTATTCTTTTAAGAAATGGAGAAGCTAAAGAAAACGGCTATGGAGGAGAGCACCTGACCTGACACCAACGTTATTCTTTGCTTTCTTTTTCTTTCTTTAGCTTTCTCTTTCTGAAGATGCGATGCCGTTTTCATGTCCTGCGTCTTAACCCTCTAACCCCACCTCGGAGAGGGTGGTGTCCACGTGGCACTGTACGCGAATGCTGGTAAGAAGAGAGAGGTTCACGCGGGTAAATGTTGCGCGTGAGTACACGCTCCGACCGTCAGGTAAGGTGCCATTGTCATTAACTCATTACTCCATTAAAGAGCCACCCAACAGAAAACTTGACCGACCATTTTTGCATGCAGGCAAGCAAGCAGGAATTTACCATTTCATCCTCCTGCTTCCCGTTAATTCTTTTTTAAATAAAATAATATATATATATTTTTTTTTCAAAGTTTCTAATTCGTATAAATATATGTGGCTGTTTTTAAATAGAAACAATTATTTTGTATTTCTGGTCGTTGGAAAATTACCTTTTTTCTGATCTCCAAATGCAGCCAAACAAGAGTATACCATTAATTTATTCCCAAGAAAGTACCATTTTTAAGGAGATTTTATTAATTAGCCTATTTTTTTGTTCATGAGTAATACCCAACAAATTTTATGAACTGGGCATAATAAATAAACATATACCCACTTAAAAAAATAATAACTTTAAATAAAATAATAAGAAAACCAATCAATAAAAATGAAATTACCCAAAATAAATTTACAATTTGGTACTAATTTTACTTGCTAAAGAAGTTGAAAGAGAAGAATTGTATGTCAGTGTGGTGGCCGACACTCTGTGACCCATCAACGTTTTTAACTCCCACTGCTCAATCATCACATTCATCTTTCGTAAACTTTCTTAAAGTTTTTTCCTTTTTAATTAATATCACCTTCCAAAACAGTTCAGAGTCTTGATCTCATCTACCCACAAGATTTTTCTTTTTTTCTTTAAAAGAAAAAAGACACAACAAAAAGTAAACGAACATTCATTATTCAATAAATTAAATTGGCTGTCTCTTCATTATTTTAAAAAAATATATACTTGGTCAATTTTTTAATTAACTCTGAGACATTTATATATGAATTTAAGTGAACAACGTGTGTGTCTATAAATATATATATATATTATATATATATTAGATAAAAACACTTCGACATAAATATTTATATATGAATTCAAGAAACAAACCCTTAAATTTTTTGTACTTTTAAATGAATTTTAATTATATTTTACACAAAAATAACCTAAAGTTTTTATTACCACTAATTTAAGTTTAGAACTTCTAACATTTAATGTCTAAAAATTATTGAACTAACAGTAGTATACTTGAAATATTACAGAGATACAGAAACAAAGATGGGATTTTGGTGGGATGATTTCTTTAGGGTTTGTTGAGAGTCCCTTTCTTTAGAATCAAAGGAACTTGGAAAGCTATGGTTATCGCTATCTCCAAAAATTAGATTAACACCAAAACAGACAATGGTTTTAAAGGTTTACTTTGTAATATATGGCATTTTTAAGTACACAAACTTTGGACTACATGGGTCATGAATGAATCATCAGATCACACAGATTCATTAAGTGGAGTACATGCCTGCACAACATTTGCAATGACACACACACACACACACACGCATGTGTTTTGTTTTAATGCAATGTTTGACTAGTTGGAAATACTAGCATTTTATAATTCTTTGTTATTTATATTTATTGATGAATCTATATGCTTTTAATTATTTATTTCATAACGTTTTAACTATTCATTTTTACTATATAGATCAGTGTGGGACTAAAAATTAATAATAATAATAAATAATAATCAACATAGTAAAAAATGATAATGAAATATTACTAAATATGATGAAGTTTTGTGGGTTTGGTGACTGGTTGTCGACCCCAATTCTTTTCTTTTTTAACAGTGAGGACCTAGCTTTGATGATGAATCATTAGTTTATAACAAGTACAAAAAAAAGTGGGTTATATGATGATGAAATAGTCATCAAATATATGGAAATAAAAATCTGGAGTCTTATTGGCATTAGCTTTATTTATTTGTTTATATATATATATATATATGTTAGAATTTAAAAAAAAAAATGAAGAAAATTTAAATTTTTATTGACTTCACTCTTTCCACAGTGAACAATTTAAAATATATTTAAATAGATTTAAATCGAATTCAAATTTTTTTAAAATAATATATCATAATTTAAAAAATAAATATAAATAAAATCTTTTAAAAAATAAATATATTTTAAATCTAATAAAAGATAAGACATTTGATTATACTCCATACGACCTGTTTTAGACGGTAAGAACGAAAAGAGGGGGAAGAGAGAAGCAGGGCTCGAAGAACAAGCCGAGTCGTGCAAGAACGTGGAGATATAACAAGTAAGCAACAAGGCTCTCCCTTAAGGACCGACTACAATAAGCTCGCGACTCTAATAGAAAGAAATAGTAAACTCTCTGCTCTATTTGCTCGCAATGTTATACCTATCAAAGTTGGCGAACGTTTCTGTAACCTTATACTTGTTATACTGTTCGACTGAACTCGTTAGCTTCGCGTCCACCAAAAGTCGGTAATCTTCATCACCGTCAACATTTAGTACTTTCTCAATAGCTTCAATAGTTTACTGTTAAATTTAAATTAATAAATAAAATAAATTATAATTTTTATATTTAACTTCAATATATATATATATAATTTTAAATATGTATTTATCCGTAAATATCTAAAGATTACTTATATATATATGTATGTGTATGTGTGCATTTATTATAATAATATGCCTGTGCACTACTGTATTATATCAAACTAATCCCTTGGTTTATAAATTCTATTAGTTATAGGACATCATGATACTTCATCCAACAAAGTAATTTGTAAAATTTTTCTTATTTGAGGTTCAAAATTGTTGGTGATTAATTTCATTTTTCATTTTTCTAATGGTTTGTTATAAAATAAAGTTTGGAATAAAATAATATGTCAAAATATGTTAATGATTGTTTCCATTCGCAATAACATGTAATCCCATGTGGCCATCTGCATCTCTTACGCATGCATTTGTTAATCAGATTCAAGCAATCATGTAATCTGATCAAATCACCTTTATTTATGAAAAGAAACCACAGTGATCCATAACTCTAACCACTCTAAATTTGACGTGACTAACAAAATCAAATTGTGTCAAACAATTTACTGTGTTAAGATAACCGCTACTGCAAGTCAAAAGTTTGTGTTGGTGGGTAAAATTTTTATCTCACATGGTTAAATTTAAATTTTTCTTACTTGCATGAAATTATATTCCTTTCAAGTGAAATTTTTTTATTGGACAAAACTTCAGTGAAACAAACTATTGTGCTGAATTTTTTCCTTCTGGGTTCAAGCATCGTGGCTCTCCCAGGAAAACAAAAAAAAAAGAGGCATGGGTTTCTTCGGCTATGAGCCTGGGCTTTATTGCTCCTAATTTTTTTCAAACGTTTGAGAGAACTTTCACCGTAATGGTAAGAAATTCATTGAAGCTAGCCAACTCATTATCATCGAAAGATTAAAATTTTTATATTTTACTTAAAAATTATAAATTTAAATTTTATAAATATATTATAAATTAATCAATAATTAATCTATAATATTAATATAATAAAAATAAAAAATTAATTTTTAATATGTTAATGAGACAACAATAATTTATTACTGAGGCATGACGTATTTAAAAAAAAAATTCAGTAACAATTAAATTTTCTTAATTAAGATAATCAGAATATAATAAAAATCCGATCTAATTTTTTTTTTTTCTTAAAAATAAAAGAAGAAAGCCAACTTATTCACTTAACTGAATATCCTAATTCCTGCAATGAGTGAATCCCCCGCAATAAAGGCCAAAAAAAATAGTCAAGATAACTAGTACCTAACCCTTCGTTCTCTAAAATAAAAGGTGCGGAGGTCTTTTCCTTAAAAAAATTGAATGTGATTTAATTCTAAAAGACGAATTAACAAAGGATTCAATCACAATAAACAAAATCGGAGGACGACAAATCTATCACTATACACTAATTAGTATCAACGTCTACCATTTATATTGCAGAATAAATCTACTGGACAACATTTATTCTCATGTTCTCAGCATCCGAGTTTAGTTAAAAGGTTCCAGAGAACAGCCTTACCATACCTGAAATATCATTACCGGCTTCTCCTGTACAACTCCTCATGGCTGCCCGTGGAACTAAATAAGGCATTCAGAAGCACTCAGAAAGATGAGTATTCACCTTTACCAAGAGGATTACTTTCATGCTCATGTATTGGAATTTGGAGGGAAAACCTTCTGGATGAATTCTAAGAAGCGCTCTGAGTAGAATGTTGGGTCAACAGCCGAGATAGACAAGGAATCAAACTGAATGGATTTGTATGCATGTTCAATCTTCTTACTCATGTTGTACTCTTGTAATATATCAATGATACCCAAGTATAGAACAACATCGTAGACTTCATTAAACGTCTGCTTTTCTTGCTTACCTAAAATCTGCTCTGCTCTGGCTGGCAGGTTTACGCCAAGCTGGATCTGGAGTCTGCTTACCTCACAATAGAAAAATAAAAAATAATTCACTTAAATAAATTGAGTGAAAAATTAACATAAACGTAGAAGCACAATTTTGATGTCCCTTTTCTGGTGGGAGAAGGACAAAGGAGGGTGAGTGTTTTATATTTCAGATGGCTGCTTTCAACATGGCTCCCCAGTCACAGAACACGCACTTCGATGGAGATTGTGCAGGAACATAATTCAGAAGGCCATCATTAGGTATTTAAGATTTCTTACCTTGCTGTTCCAGGGAGAAGGAGATCTACTTCCTCGTCACCGGCAGATGACGCTCGTAATCGGCTGCCTCTTATATGAGGGCCCACAACAACACTGTTATCATCGTCAGTTCCACGAGGAACCAAAACCAAGCCTTGGGGATAATTAGATATGTCATCCTCTATGGTATCTGGGGTTAGGACCAAAAGAAAAACTTTGTTCAGTCCATCATTAATTGTTCCATTAAAGCAACTACACATGTAGAGAGACAAGAATGACCAACACATCAGAATCCGCACAACAGACTAAATTGAATTGGACTGGGGCAAGTATCATGCATAAGGTATCTGGTTTTATTACCAGCCTATTTTCTCTAAGAACTTAAGAAAGCAAATCCTTCCGAAGCAAGCAGAAAGGAAAGAGAATTCTCTAATTTATATTCCATCTACAGTAACTTTATTTATTTAAGTTGGTCCATATCAGGAACTATCAGCGATATCAATGTGTTTTCTACGGATTAATGCCTTCAACCAGAAATGTATAATCATTATATTAATGAAAAGAGATTTTAGAGAATTTAGCAATTCCTTTTGTGTTAACCTTGTTTTATAGTAAGCATCTTTCTTGTCGATATTATAATATCAAAACACTATAGTCCAAACTCGTAAAGTCTCTCATTTCCTTTTAAAGGATGTGTTTCTACTTTCTATTCTACCATTATCTTCTTCTGTAACCTGTTGCAAGTTCATTTCAAACCATAAAAAAAGCCATTGCTCTTTTTCACCTCCTATAAAATACTAACTCAACAGAGTAAAAGGGTGTTACTAGATGAAGTTGAAGACAAGACACACCTTCCTCAGCAACACTCCCCAAACCATCTGATATTATACTTTGGTTGTAGGAAATGAGAGGCCGAAGGTGCTGTGGTGCTCGATAATGCACACCCAACAAAAGGCTGTAATCCATAATATGCTGTGCTTCCAGGAATTTACTGTCAATCTCTATTTGGCTGCAGAAGAAATATGCATATTATAACTGATTAATAGAGAAAGCAAAAAGAAGGAAGGAACTAGAAAAATTTTCAATGCAAGCTCAGCAAATTTATGTTAATTAAAAAAACTATATGATGCTTGTTTAGCAGTTTAGAACAGATAACAGTTTGGTAATAAATGAAGGTTACAAATAAGGAAAGCTATAAATGCCACAACAAATTTTTGAGGTTCTCTCATTTAGCACCATATATCTTATTTGAGATACTTCTCACTCTAAACTTTCAGATTATCTAAGTCAGCCTTATATTTTTAATTTAGACAATTTCTATCACCTACTTCAAAGTAGCACCTCTAAAAAAATCACATATCAATTTTAAGGTGAAATATCAAGAGCTGTAATTTAAAGAAAAAAAAAAATGCCACCAACATTATAAAGAAATTACACTTAACCCTCAAATATAGCTCTTCATATGTAACACATGTATATTTACTTTAGAATTAATGTTTAATTTCTTAAAAAACGTCTTGATGATGAGTACATAAAGCACAGCATGGTAATTGTTTCAATTGAATATATGGTGCTAACTGAGACAATCCAAAAGTATTAAAGTGAAATGTCTTTATTAAAAGCGGAAGGTCTAGATTGAGACAGCTTCAAAACTAGTGGTATTTGTAGCATCCCCTAAAAAATAATTTAGAATTTATGCAAGAACTACTATAGACCAACCAAAACCCAACCTATACATATCAATTTTTTACCACCTACAAATACAGCAGTTTGGTTACAGAAAATGTTACAGATTATCTAACAAAACAATTAATTATGGAGGCTAGTTCCTCTTCACACAAGTATCGGCAGAGTTCTTAATATCAACATAGACAAGTTGTCCAGAAGCTTCAAAAAATAACAATTTAGAATTAGATTAAGAAATATGGAGGCATCACTACCTTAGTAAATCTTTTCGCCAAGAGGGTTCCAAATAGAAGCAATAGTTTAGGTCCAAATCTTTGAGTATTGTGCTTTCATCAATCTCAAACTTGTCTGCAGAACGCCCTAATGATGAACCTTTTAAGTCAAATCTTCGATGGATCCTCAATTCTGTGCAGAACATATTTCCCATCACCACAAAGCGGAACTGCAGTGCAGGAATTAGTTCACTTTTAGTGAAAAAGGCCTTTCACATTTAAGAAAGTTCCACGAAAATCACAATGAAGGAGAAAGATCAGCCCTTAATCAAGGTAAAATTAGTTTCAAGGAAGTGAATATGAAAAGATATAGCAGTATTAAGACAGTGAAAAAAGATACTGTGATTGTTTCGTCCAATACCTTCTGACCACTTGAAGGCTTGATCCTGTGAAGACCAAAGAACTTTGTTATGAGTGTATTCTCATATGTCCTCACATGATGATGATACTTTGGAAGCATTCTTACAAGGACCTGTAAATCATAAATTACATGCTAAAAGGTCATGAAGGCATAGAAACTGGGAATCTTTGCTAAAACATCTGAGTTAAGAAGCAGGTCAAAAACTTTGGTAAAACACAAAGGAGATGGATTTCATTTCTTGGAACCATATCAAGCAATCAAGAGAAGCATAATAAAAGGTAGAAGTCAAATGGGGATGACAAACCTTAACTTCTGATTTGCGGAGTGTCTTAATCATAAAACGATCATCTTGAGACAGAAAAAACACACTACCACTTTTCCCAGGAGAAGAAAGTTCCCTAAGTGCGTCGTTTCCACAAATGGACATCATGTAGTCAGCAGCATCGATCTTGAACATTTCCCTTAAGTTCCTATAGGTTTTGAGAAATCCATACGCATAAACAAGGGTGAAAGAAGTACATATGATGATCAATATGATGTCAATGTAAGTACAATAGTGAATAGTGCATATGCAGCTCACAAAGTGCAGCAAAAGTATAAAGGTGAAAAATCTGTTACTTTAATTAAGGATCCTCGATTATAGACAAAGCTAAGATAAACTCAAAGATCAGATCACGCCCGAAATGATCAAGGTGCAAGTTAGAGGTTGCATGACTATCCTCGATTGTAATGCAAGACAAATAAATTTGATTTGATCAATTAGAAATTTTGAAATAAAAAAACCCAGGAATCACACCTAGGTTTTCTCTGACATCACATACAAAAAGTCTTAAATATCATATTCAAGAGTTTGAATGCATCATATAATCAGAAATTTGTGAAATTCTCAAAATATTATTAAATACTTGATATAACTGAAATTACAAAGCTATTTTTGAAAATCTCTAAGTAATTTTTATTTACTAGAATTTTTTTAAAAATAAATTTTTCATAACTAAAATTAAACTAATAAATAGAAACCAGTAGAATTATTGTTGACATGAATTGACATAAACATTTTGTTTCCTAAATCATTGTGATATTTTTCCTATATACTTCTTACCATTAATTTCTCCTATAATGTTATAATTATTTAGTATCTCTACTATAAGGGTAATTTCTCTATTAGTACTTGGGAATCTTATATATATATGAGTTGTCTACTATACCAAATAAATTAAGAAAATAAAATAAATATTTTTCCTCCCAAAAATTCTACATGGTATTAGAGCAAAATAAGAGTATTTTAGGATTTTTCAATTTTAGAGTTTCTTTCAAACCCTATAATATTCTCAACACCCACCCAAACGGAGTCTCAACCTCACCGGCAGCCTGCTGCCCTATTCTGGTGATCATCTCCAACCTACCTGATCAATTTGCTCCTGTCGCACCAGACTATTCGCGCTGTGTCCTCGTGCACGGCCTCTGGTTTCCGCTGCTCCCCGCTCTAGTTCGTGCAACCCGACCCGACCCTCTGGTCCCATTGCACACACCCGACTCTGCTCCTTCGTGCTGCCCCTCTGGTCTCTTTGCGCACGGTATCTGGTTCTGTCGCACACACCCGACGCTTTTTTTTGGTTCCGTCGCACACATCCAGCGCCTCTGGTTCCGTCTCGCACACCCAACACGTTTTCATGGCTCAATCGCGCACACCCAGCGCCTCTGGTTCACGTTGCTCCTTCGGCTCCTTCGCACACGGTGTCTGGTTCCGTCACGCACACTCAGAGCGGTTTTTGGTTCACACACGATTACTGCTTCGTCCCGGGTTTCCAGCAACGACACCTCTGTTCTTCCGACTTCAAGCATCTGATTCAGCCTCTGTTTCTCTCCTGGATTTTTTGTTACCATCTACTACTCCATCCTAGCACCCACATCAGTACTTGTTTCCAGTAATCTTCTCTAGTCTTGCAGCAATTTTTGGGCTTTGGTGGTGTTTAGGAGGTTTGTTCTCTTTCTACGATATTCGATATTCAGTATTATTTTCGTGTTTCAAGTACTTAAACATGACACAAGCAAAGAAATTAATTGTCCTTAATTCCGACAACCCATCATTGCAAATAAGTCTTGAAAATCTTGATTGAACTAATTACCATACGTGATCAAGATCTTATTTACTGTTTATCAAAGCCAAGAGATTACAGGGTTATATTACCGGTGA